TCTGGCTCCGGTCATACAGGGACCGGACGGCCCTCAGCAGAGGACCCCGGACCCCGTACTCACGGAGGACCCCCCAAAGGACACCCCGGGGAACACGGTCGAACGACAAGCATAAACTGTAATATAGCCGCTTATAGGTTCATGGGTGTGTCACGGAGCTACAATACTTAACTGCCATTAAGTCATTAAGAATAACATATGAGCCAGAGATGAGGACATGGGACCATCAAGACTCAGACATGCCTCGGACTTGTGAGTCTCCAGTGTATAATGAAATGAAAACTCTCTCTCCCTCACCAGTTGCGTCCAGTGTAGGGTTGCCAATCGGGGGGGAAACACCCTAGGTGCTGTGGCCCCTGATGGCCACTGGGCTGACCACTCAATATTGGATTATAAAAAGAAAGGTCAAAAAAAGCAAGGTTATGCAGCTGTAGCGCGGCCAGCTCGACCAGTTCCCTACAGGTGCGAGCAGTACATGCCACAAATACAGAGAGAAAGTGTGGTCAATACAACAAGAAGCAGATCTGAATCATGGGAGCAGAAGTTCCCATGCCCCCCCCCCCATGTCTTCTACTGACGCTTCAGGTTAAACTCTGAGCAAAAAGAGAGGCTAAAGATATGACCTGTCTTATCTGAAGGACGCATAGATAAACTGTGTCTTTTAGAATTTGGCCTAAATTGCTATGATGAAAATAAAATAAAAGCAAGATTTTTGTATGTAGACTACATTTGTTACGATACATGAGTTTTGATCATTATATCCGATATAATTTCTTTTTTTCCCCTTTTTTTCTTTGAATAATCTGTTAGTGAATTTTGGGAATCTTTGAAAATCTTGGTTATGAATATTATAGTCTCTTTGGCTTCTATATTATCTAAAGGTTGTCCTATATGTCCTATTAAAAAAAGTTTCTTTTAATGTGCAATGAATCGTTATTTCTTCCTGAGAGCAGAAATACTGCGCATTCAGGCCTACAGAAATCTAGTTTCCGTGGCAACAACAGCATTATAAATCGCTTGATGTGTAAACTGCTGTTGCAGACTAACAATACATAGCCTTGTCTTATTCCTGCTTAAATCCATTCTCTAAGCCAGTTTTAGCTCCAATCGTGTTTGTGGCTATGAGATATGGTATTAGCTGTGGCTTCTGTAGCCGAAGTGGTGGCTCAGCATGGCCTCTGTGTTTCCCCGATATCATATATTATTCAATAGACCCTTGTGTGTCTGCCGCAGCGCTGATATTGTTGTGGAGACAGTGTTTTCCTCATCTGTCTTTTGTTTTGTTGTTGTTTTGTTATGAGCTTTAGTCTCATAAATGACATGACTGAACGAATAAATACCAACTCTCTTTTGTGAATGAGATATTTTATTAATGAGAGAAAGTGTATGCATCAGTGTGAACCAAAGCCCCATGATGTAAAATGGGCTCCTGGAACAAGACAGAAGGTGCAAGAATAAGGCTCTTACTATTCCAGTAACCCTAGTCAGAAGAGTTACGAGTGTAGGAAAAATTGGTACTTTGAAAACCCACAATCAACACAAACAGTGAAACAGCTAGTAGCAGTGTTCCAACATCCACCAGCGACAACTGCAATCACGACTTGAGATAGATGAAGTAAGACACAGATGCTACGGAAAATAGGTTCCATGCATTGGGTGTGAATAACTCTCAAACATTCAAAATATCTTTCCTATAAGACTGACTGACTTTCATTTTTTGATATTTTGGATAAGGCCAAGAGTGCTGATGGTATTATCATATTTACCACATGGGGACAATAATGACACTAAGTTGAGTTAAGTTGTACTTGTCGTCATAATCTGTCGGCATCTGACCCATCCTGCAATGCCTCCCGAGCCTCTGTCAGGATCAGTGGTTGCTATAGTTGATGCAATGTGTATTTGTAGTGGTAGGGGACACTGCAGCACCCAGAGTAAACCTAAGCAGAGAAGGATGACACTGTTTAACCACTTTGCCGCCCTCAGAGTAACTTGTTTGCACGTTGCTAGACCCGTGTGGATCCTCCATGAAAATGACATTCTTGGTCCTTGACCTTTAGCTCATGGTAGAGCTGCTACAAAAACCGACTTTTCCTGAAACTTTTTGGAGCCCTGGGGCCAACAGTCAAATCAATAAAGAGGTGTAATGACATTTTTGCCAGAGATATTCAATAAACCATCGATCTTGCTCTATATTTTTGCAGGGTCTAGAGATCAAGAAAATCCTTTTTTTTTTTAAAGGTACAGTACACTGTGTAGTTTTTACTCCCATCTAGCATTGAGATCTTACATTGCAGTCAACTTTTTAGCACCAGCGCTACGGAAGCCTTCGGGACAATATGTCGTCTGTAACAGTGGTCCACAACTGACTCCCGGTCATTCAAACCGGGCCGACACGGAAAGAATCCTTTAGTTTGATAAATGACCAGATCGCTGCTTGCGTCTTGGTCACTTGACATGGTAGCGCTAAAATATAAACAAATGTTCACACGTACGCTGTGAAGAGAAGAAACGGAGATCAGAGAAGTATTGTCTAAAAATAAGACTGGACGTGTTGTGAGATTTCATAACACTTTGAAGCAACTTTTGTTATAGTTAAACTCATCATTCTATCAATGTGCAGAAGCCAGTACTTTTCCCTTGTTTTGTCTTTCTGAAGGCCAAGCTACATGGCACCGTGGCAGCTGCTGATTGGAGGTCTCCATGCCTCCGCTCTGTATAATACACTTGCATTCTATTGTATCTGTGTTCGTGTGCGTTGTTCGTGCTGTCTCTACCATTGACAATAAAACTTGTCTTCTGTCTGAATTAAAGACGCGATCCCAGACTTTGTCATCTTCTTCAGGTGGTGGAAGGATGCGGGCCTTGTCTGTAACATCTAGAGAACAGAGGACTACTTTTTTTTTTACACAAAAAGTGTTTTTTTTTTTAAAGCCAAAACTGAAAAGCCTCAAGAGAAACCATGCATCTGGATCAGCACTTGGACAATCTGCACAGCCCCTGATTCCAGTCAGGCTGTGAGCTGCTGAGACATGGACAACACCATCGTCCTCTTTTGCATGGACACCATTTGGAACAATTGGATTAAACAATTTGGACATAATTTGGACTGAATTGGATTTCTGAATCTGGACACTAAAGCTGAAACGTGCGATTGAAAGACACGTCACAGAAGAATTCATGGCTCGACACAACAAATGCAGCCTGAAGAAATCAAAACAGAGAAGTGGGAAAGACTGTTTTCAAAGCAATATCTGGAACCACCATCGACTGATGAAGTTTGGTATTTTACTGAAGATTGTTGACAAGTTTTATGAAAGATCTGAAAATGTTTTATGAGTTTTGTGAGTTTTTGAAGTATTCCGAGTTCTGAGTTTTTTGAAGTACCGAGTGAAGTGCCGAGTTTAAGTATTGAGTTATGATTTTATGTTGCTGTTTATCGATCCTGATGGTCACACGTGAATATGTGACCAGAGGGGGGAATGTGAGATTTCATAACACTTTTAAGCAACTTTTGTTATAGTTAAACTCATCATTCTATCAATGTGCAGAAGCCAGTACTTTTCCACTTCATGTTTTGTCTATCTGAAGGCCAAGCTACATGGCACCGTGGAAGCTGCTGATTGGAGGTCTCCATGCCTCCGCTCTGTATAATACACTTGCATTCTGTTGTATCTGTGTTCGTGTGCGTTGTTCGTGCTGTCTCTGTCTGAATTAAAAACGCAATCCCAGACTTTGTCATCTTCTTCAGTGTCTTCGATTTGATAAAGAGAAATGAGAGGCAAGATTCCAGAGTTTAACAGTATTTAATTATCTTTGCAATCAAACACAAAACTCAAGAGCTCCTATCCTAACTATATCCCTGCGGTCTGTCCCTATATGTGACTGACTAACCAAACGAACAGAACAGTTTTATGTAAAACATTTAGAAAAAGCAGGAAGTGCCACTGACGTCATCTGGACAGGTCTCGGACTCTGGTCCGGTCTTGGTCTTGCACTCTGGATCGCATCCTTCTCCTCCCCCTCATTCCTCCCCTTTGGTCTACACTCCCTAATTCTTAAGTCTAACACACGGTCCACCAAATTATACTGGCTCAAACACATCATCATTCTCCAAACTTGTGAGGGCACGGTGGAAGCAACAATATCAGTAGCACCTGTGAACTGAAAACATGATTCTCGCATCCTTTTTGTCCCTTATCAACCTATGTATTTCAAGATGGCGCATTGACACGGATAGTTCTCCAGCTCTCATGGACATTTATAGATATATGACAACAATTCAAAAACATGGTGCAGGTGAATATTCTTTAAAATGTCACAATTAGTTATTGTTTACATGTTTGATTTGAAGCAACTGTACCTTTAAAGTTCATCTTCACACACTCGCACTGACATTGACTTGACCTGGTTTGTCTGGCGGTAAAATGTCGTCCAGGATGTATTAAAATGCTGGGTTAGTATTCAATCATGCAAGTCAGGCCTCCCAACCTCCCACAGAGCTGCTCTCTTCAGGAGGCCTCAGATCTCCACCGGTGACCAGACACAAACTCACACTTATTTCATCTTTCCAGCACCTTACCCCAGACATTATTTAAATATATCTGCTTGAAAGGTTTGAGAGAAAGAAATCAAACGCTTATGGGTCAGTTTGGACAATGAGTTTAAGACAAAAATAGGGTTCAGACACAACCATAGATAGTAATGAATGCAACAGTGGCATGCAACTCTAGGTTAAACATGAATAAAATCACAAACAACAGCAGTGGGATGGGCAGGGCTTATACATGTTTTCCTTTTATCTGGAGGCCACGGTGTTCTTTTGATTTTCCCACATAGTTAGAATTGTAAAAGTTCATGTGTTTTTGCTCATGTGATTCACAAACACAACAATCATAACATCTCTAAACTTCTTCAGAGCAAGTCAGTACAAGTCTGAGCACCGGACAAGGACCCAATTGTTCTTGTTGACTTATATGTGCTTTCTACTTCTGTCCCAGGTTTGATTGACTACAACTTCCACTGTTTCAAAAAGGCCATAGAGGAAGTGTTTGATGTACGCCTCAAGGTGCAGCAGAACCGAAAGCTGCTCAGCCAGAGGAGGTGGAGCAAACTCACTTCCATGAGCAACGGAGCGGCCAGCAACCCACACTGACCACACTGGCCCTGGGAAACACACGCTCAGGCAGGGAATGCTAATGTGAAAGGACATCTCTGCTTCTATATCGTCTACACTTAGGGGACAAAGCATTCACGTCTTTCTGGTTTCAGCCGTTCGAGGTTACAATCATTTTGCTTCACCATTTATTTAAAAAAAATTGCGTCATCTTTTACGTATTTATTTTGTAAAGGTATATGGGAGAATAGAGTTTAAAGTGCATATGACAGGTTTGATGATTTATTTATTTTGATTTAGATTTTTGTGGATATTGCCTTTGTAAACACTCGCGCAGTTCACCTAAATTTTACATGATGTCGAAATGATTCAAACTGTGGCTGACGATTGTTTTCTTGTTGATAGATCTTAGGAAATGATTGTTTTTCACTCTGTTTTTACCATTAAATTCAATGAAAATGCATCTTTTCCTGCTTCAGTCTTCACTCAGTAAGACATTTCAGTCAGACTACGCAGGAAATATGTTCGTAAGAATGGTCAATTGACACACACACACACACACATGCTGCGGCACAACACACGCAGACACTCTACGCATACTTAATAGTGAATGCAAAGCCCAACATCATAAGAGAAACATCTTTTGAATGCATCACAAAGAACAGGAGACTTAGAACAGACACACACATACACAGAAAGCCAACACATGATAATATCCAGCAATAACAGTGACCCACACACACAGACACATCCCAAAATGTATTAAAACCAATTGGATGACTTGCATTGTTTCTGTATAATGCAATTTGTCCTTTTTTTTCTTTATAAGCTAACCAACATCTTAAACATCAGGAAAGCAGCGTGTATAGATGGGTGGCTCTGGACGGAGGGGAACAACAGTGTAGGCCACAAAACAGCTGAAACATGTCGACAAAGTAAGGAACTGCGAGGAGGAGGGTAACGTGGGAAACTGTGACCAAACGTAATTGTTGTAGTGTCCACTGCTTCATTGAGGACTTTGTGTGGTCACAGCCTCCTTGTTGTGGTGCCCAGTGCAGGAGGCCTTCACCGGTTTCACTGGAGTGCAGGTCACCCGCCCAGATAACTCAGCTTTAAAACACTCAAGTAAGTAATTGTGTATTTCAAATTTATGTTTCTCATATAGCAAACCAAAACAAACAAGATACACATGTTTGATTTGAAAAATAAAGTTTGAAAAGGGGTTGGAGGGAGCAAATGCTAATATCAAAATCAAAGTTATGAGGACATTGCACACTCTCCCCAAAGATTCAATTCAACCAAATTATGGGGACAATTTATTCAGAAAAACTCTTTAACATTTGAAATATATTTTATATCAAAATAAGTTATTTACAAGGTTCATTCCTAGGACAAGACTGAAGCTCTCATCATCAGAGTTTGGTTTCTGTTGCACGCACTGCTCTTTCTTCTAAATTGTTGATATAAAAATATATCAGAAAATTGTTGCATTACGATTTCCTCTGCTACTGTGCAATGTCCTGGGAAATTTAGTAGACTTATTGATAAGTTTTGACCCTCTATTTATTATAACATGTTCCTAACCCCCGCCATGAGCCTAAAAACTAAAATAATCTAAAAACCTTGCCGAACCTTTATCACTGTTGTCCCAGGGCCAACATGACATTTCAATACATGTCGAAAACACAATTTTCTCAAACTTTCAGTTGTTTTACTCCATTGTATGTGTATTATTATTATTATTATTATGAGACACTGATGCTGTAGATAAGACTGGCTGATCTTGCATAAGTGCCGTGACAAAAAGCCCTTGTCTTTCTAATTTCCTGGTATTTTCCAAGAACATTATGGAAACAGCAGTGCATCCATATGGTTGCTTACAGCCAGTAATTTAACTGAGTCATTTGCTTCACACAGAGAATTATACATCTGCGTGACGAATGACGGAAGCCATTTTGGAACAAACTACTTTAGTAAATTTGACGTTGTGGTGCGTAGCCGAGGATATAGCGCGTAAAGCAGCTGGTATTGTCGTTCACTATATGAGACGTGTGGGAGAAACACGGCCTCTTAAATTGACAAACAGATGCATAAAACTTTTCTTGCGCATTACCACGAAAACCAAGGCCTCCTCAAGTCACTGCAGTAGTTGCTTGATCAGAGCGCAATGAGAAACTCGAGAAGTTTTTGTAAATTAAATTAAATCATGTATAAAAACTGTCCGTTGGTGCAAAATGTATAAAGGGTCTTGTATTTGTTTTGTTTTAACGTTGGGATACCAAACTTCATTTTTAACGTAGCAAATAATGTTTATAGAAATGTTTATAGAGAAATTTAAATGTCATCGTTGCGAAATTACAGCAGGACAGAAAGAGAAATAAGAGCACTCAAACATAAAGGTGCACTTTATTAATCCCAGTAGGCTAATTCATCCTCTGCATTTGACCCATCCTGATGCAGCGAAGGCTCACGTCAGGAGCAGTGGCCGCCGTATTAACAGCGCTCAGGAACCCATCTCCAGATGTTGATGCTCGGCTTGGTCAGGACTACCGGAGCTGGAGGATATTTACCTAGTGTGCATGTGTTTAGTGGTAGGGGAGACGGGGGCACCTGTAGGAAACTTACACAGGCACGGGGAGAACATGCAAACTCCACTCAGAAAGACCCCTTTCTGACCGGGATTCAGACATAGGACCTTGCTAAGAAGCGAGGGTGCTATCCGCCGTGCCGCCCATGTGCTGTATACCAACGACCTATGCTCATCTCAAGCCCCCATCTAAGCAGAATCTTCCATTTTAAAAACCAAAAACTTTTAAAGCAATCAATTATATTATCCAAGACACCCAGTCATAATCATAAGCTTCTTGGCTAGCTTCAATTTGCGCTGCTTGCTCTTGGCAGACTTGTTACTGGAAAAGACAGAAAAAGTCTTGTAAAAGTAACAAACTAGATGTTGTTTTTATCTTATTAGAACATACTGTGTTTTTCTACTTATTTCAAAAAGGCTTTGGGATGAGAGAGCTTCAACTAGTGTCTCGTTTTCTCTTTTCTGTCTGAAAAAGTTGATCTAAAGCTGTGTCAGAGGCCCAAAAAAAATGCATGCAATACTATACGAGTTAGTTTCATTTTTGTGGTTTGAAAGTTTTAAGCTTTAATTCGTACAGTGCAACAAACCTGGGTGTAGAATAACACACTGTAACGCTACATACTTGGGATTAAAAGTTGTTTTGTTTTTTTCTGTTTTGTGTGGCGTGATCCAGTATGTGCGTGTATAATATAATTTATTCACGGTACACTGGAATTAAACAGTTTTTCTACATTTCGTGGTCTGCGTTGAGGCTGCAGATGAGATGAATGCCTCTGTATCTCAGCAGGACACTCATAGATCCGGCAGAGGCTTTCAGGCAGTTATTCACATAAAATGGGAGCGTTCCATTTCCACCGGCAGATCTGAATGTGTCATTACTTTGCCGCACTTCCTGTCTGACGCACAGCAGCTGCCCACTCGCTCCAGCGTTCTCCAACTGTGTCTCCTTGCCATCGACATTCAACATATGTCTGTGTTTATTAGAGTTTCACTGTGTCAAAGGGTCGCAGTGAGATGCTACTGGGTGTGTTCCATTTAAGGTTTTAGTATAAGATGATCCCTGCTGTGGGTTTGCGTCAAGCCTCGGCGATCCAAGATGGTGCTGTACTCAAATGAATGGTTTGTGCTCAGTGGCGCATGTGCCGACATGGGCGCTGAAAGATTCGCAGAACTCTGTAATATTTGGGCATCGTCTGGTCCTCCCGCTTCTGCACAGTGGACGAGCTCCCGTGATGCGTTGCGCCAAACATGTGTTTCTGTGGCTCTCATGCACGAGCACAGAGGGGCTCGGGCGCGCTCCGACCAATCAGAGCTGCTAATCAGAGCGGAGGTATAGAGGGAAGGAAACAAGCAGAGTTTGTGGCACTAAAGTGTGGATTTAAAGAAAACCGAAGGATTTTAGAAGAAAAAAAGTTCAGGATGACAAGGGACACTAAAATCCAACCTTTATTAAAGCAATAGGTTCTCTGTCAGCTGAAGTTGCGCTGTTTTAGTTCACATTGAGTTTTATGGGGAAAATGTCTGGGTAGCCCACGTGAATTTAGTCTGGTTTAGTCTGCAGTACCTCGAGAATCCACCGAGCACGTGGGTCCTTCAGCTCCAAGCTAGTAATACCCTATCCAGTTATTTTAATAGATCTATGGTTTGCTACCAGCCCCTGGTGGCTCATTCGAGTAAAGGTCTTCTACTTTCTTCATGGAGTGTGTTTATACATACTCTTTTGCATACTCTAAAGTTCTAAAGTTTCATTATGTGGGAATTGAGACCACATTTTTCCTTTTATTTAACTTGACTTTGTAGATTTTAACAAAGTCAAGTTAAATAACTTGGGGCAACAGTACAGTAGCTCAGTTGATAGAGCATTGGCCTTTGAGCCTGAAAGTCGTAGGTTCGAGCCCACCGTGAGACCTACTTCACGACTCCAACTGATGACTGCTGTTGTTGTTTCTTTGGGCAAGACACTCAACCCCACTTTGCCTGAAGCCCCCGCTGAAAGATTGCAGCTCCTGTGGACTCAGCACCTGGTGGAGGATCAGTGAGGGGCTGGTGCTCTGTGTACTGGGTGCAGCTCTGACTGCCACCCCCCCGACCCAGAAATGGATTAAGGGGAAGAAAACTAAACCATAACTGGAATATTGTTATTGCAGACCTATTATTTATTATTTTGTATTCAATGTTAGTAATAAAATACATGTTATGGTTATTTTCATAAAATTTGTTTTTGAGTCTGTTTGTGTTTTTTATGTTTGAACTGATGGATTTTCTGATCTGTGTTGGCGAAGTCCTCCAAGATAACTATCTACGCAATACAAAAGTAATTTGAATTGAATTAATATGGGTGGATTTGAACACAGACAACAAATGACAAACTTTGTCTGTTTTGGTGAGTAGGCTTCAGTGGTGTTCACATTCTTGCATGTAGATGTTGAAAATAAAAGTGGTCACAGTCCAGCAGCTCTGACAGAGGCGGCACTGGACATGAAGGGCATGTGTGTTACAGGTGAGTGGACACGGCTGGTGCTTTGTATCATATTTTCTATTTACTCCAGGGAGCAGTCTTCACCTGTCATAATTTCATATCTGCAACATATTATTACACGCTGTATGTCCAGAGAGCATTGGACAATTTAAAGTCCACCGTGTTCATTGTTTGTTTCACATCTTGACACTTTACATTAAACCTAGTGGAAAATGCTTGTCGGGGCGTTCACACATCCATATCATGGTAAATCCCAGAGGCCAGGCCCTCAAAGCACCACATGGATTATAGATCGTTGTTCTGGTCAGCTCCCAGGGTTTGTGTTTTTAGAGTATTATTGATCCACAGAAAGAAAGATGTCGCAGTGTGTTCATGGTTGGTTACAAGTTTGAAGTGTTGGGCTGCGTGACAACTCTGTGCATATGGATTGAGCTTAAGGCGCGTGTGCAGAACGCGCCATGGAAGATTTGGGATTATAGATTTCCCTCGAGTTACAAACAGATATTTCATTTAATCTTTACTTTGTTAAATCACAATGGTTCTTTTGCATATTGTATCATTCAAATAAAAGGATTATAACATTGGCACAAATCCATTGTGTAAAGCAGCAGCAGAAGCACTCTGTCCTCTGCAGAGATATGTTTCTCTGTTGAACTTGGCGTAAATGTTTGAAGCAAATCAGTGATGTCGTTATAAATGTGCTGTGGTGAAGAGAAGAAGAGAAGCTGATTGAAACGACAAAGTTCTCCATTCACTGCTTAATCTGGGTTCATGCCCTCATTCGAGGCTTGGACCAAAGTGGTTAAAATTCGGTTTGTCTGTGGAGGCCGTGTGGCACATACGGCCGAAAGGCTGAGTGAATGTGTTACATCCTCCATGTAGATCTTTGAGAGGCTTCCACAAGTCTGTTTAGTGCAGTACTATAGTGTGGCAGCACCATGTGAAGGCCTGATCCCATCAAACCTCTGAAGCAGGGCAGGGCCTGGTTAATACATGGGAGACACCAGGTACCACAGTGAGGCGGCTGTGAAGTGTCAAACTGTTGTTGTATCCTGTGGC